TCTATCGACAAGCCTTTGCATTCCGCAAGATACCACAAGTCACGGCGCAGTTCGTTGCAGTGAGGCACATCAAAAAACCTCACTACGTCTTTTGCTCGCACATTGCTTACGTAAAACTGTCCACAAGGTTAAATAGACGGTTCACTGAATATATAGCCACCGCAAACTCTCTTCATACCATGAGTGTTGTCGATAGTGGTTTCCTTGACCACTGTTTTTTGATTATGGCATAACCCTCTCTTCTCCCAAAGTCACCTACTCAGCTAGGAACGAAGACTTTGCGTTAACAGATGTCTAAGCATGTAGCCATTGAATTACTTCTTTCATACCATCGTATCTTCGCTTTCGTTGCCTTTATGAACTGGATTTGGGAAGGGATACTAGCTGCCTTAATATCGCTGAAGGTTAAAAAACCTTGTGAAGTGAGGATAGGTTCAAGGGAGTGGGCCAGTAGTGGAAGACGCAATAGGGCAAACTGTTCAATGTTAACGATTGTATTTAGTTAACAAGACCCTGCAAGTTATAATGGTTACTCACACCAATCTGTATCTTAAACTTCATGAGCATTTTGCGCTTTGTAGGTGAAGAAGTAGGAGCGAAAGACGTCAAGTGAGGTTCCGTTGGGGCACCCTCTCCATCTTTTAAGTGGGCAAACAGCGACAGAAAAAGCAAACATGGTGCCATTTTGTGTGTGCATAAGCTGAACTAGTGTTTCTTGTTTCACGGGATCCCAAAAGAGTGCATTTATCATATTAGAAGTGCTATTTTTGATGAACTATATTTAGCCTTTATATACTCCATAGTCCCGCGCCTCATCACTCGTTAGGTGATTCAAAAATTAACTACTTTAGTATTCTCCACACTGAAAACGCTAGAAGTTGACTTTTCACGGGTAATGCTGCTAAAGTGCAATACTTTGACTGGTTGTTTGACACGTCGTTTTGGTTTTGCTGGTAACTGAGGCCCCGTCGTTATGCTACCTCTGGGTGGAATAACCTCCGGACCATGCCACTAGCCCCCGGCCATTCCGCACGTCGACGGTGCATATTCTGCCCTGATTTTATGACTCCTCTCGTCTTCAAGGAAGTCCCCAAACGCTACAATACACGCTAAACACCAAATCTAGATGAGTGAGGGTGTAACTAATCCAAAGAAAATTTGTAAGCAAAATAACTAATACAGCATCATGCCTTTTCACTAGTTTGCGCTTAACGTTCAATGGGAATAGGAGTTGATAAGTCGTGATTTTGTAAAATGTATTTAAAAATACCCAATAAGTAGCGCCCCAAGTCTAACCTGAGGCCAAGAGGAAGCACAATGTTAAGGACAGAAAATGTATTGCCAACGTACAGGAGGGCCGAGGGTTTACCGCTATGATTCGGGAACCATGCCGCCCAGCGGAAGTAAAATAGCTGAAACTCAAACTCCAGCGAAACCAAAAGAGAGAGTTAAGCAGACAATCACATTATTACATAGTTGCTCTCTCCATTTGAGCGTCAGCCTTGGCGCTTCCCCCGGTCAGCCTCCTGCGTCAGCCATCACAACGTAGTTGATGCTGTAAGGGAAAACACTCACAAACCGACTGCGATGGTCATCAAATTTGCATTCAACTAAGCAGATACTTCGCTACAACATTGCTGATCTTTCCTGTCGATTCCACTGCATCAAGAGTTTCGTCCTGTTTGGGAACTGGATTTGGGAAGGGGGAGCATGCAGACCATCGCGTGTGCCTATTGCTAGGCATAGGAACACTGACCTCAAAGCAGAGTCGTTTAACAAAAGACAGGCATAAGATAGTTTCATGTGGATAATGTTTTGCGTCTATTTCACCTTACTCATTAGTTCTACCCAGCCATATCGGCCTGAGTTCCATCCAGCTGTGGAAATGTGGCAGAGGTATCGCGTGCTCACTCGATTGACATCTTCATGTGGTTACCGTAGAAACTCTGTAACGAACTTTTCTACTTAGTTCATGGCCACGGCTAGTGTCGTCCAAGTTTCTTATAGCATTCCTGCTGAGGTAGTTGCCGAAAGCAAACGTCATTTTCAATGCGTTTGTCAGAAGTCTTCACCGATTCTCCCATACACAACGTGTGCCCTTTTTCCGTCACGTTAAGATTTAGCATTTAACATTATAAATCAAAGTATTCGTCCTTCTGGATTGGGTCTACTTTGTAGAGCTCCAAGAATTACTCGAAGTCAAATATTTGGGCAGAAAACGCATTGCGAAAGTACGAGAGGGCTGTTGGGGCTACCTGTGTGGCCCGTAGGCCATGGTGCCAATGCGAAGCATAAAGTAACGCAAAACCAGAACGAAGTGTTAAACATCTAATCAAGGAATTACAATTTCATACATTAAACGAAGCTTTAAGACTGTCCGATCTCTCCGGAAAAGTTAACAGAGGAATCTGAGGTTTCCCCACGACATTCATTTCAAGGAGAACAATTTGTGCCGCTGGAAGTGATAAGAGGTAATCGCATAACTATATGCCCATACCATGACTTCGCAGCGGATAACTAAACACATGAGGTTTTACAAGTCTCATGGCAGAACTCGGCGAGGCTCAGCTTGAAATTCTATTTTCCTGAACGAGTTCATTTGAATTCCCAAAAATTCCAAGCGTTCTGTGGCACTGCACACGAGGAGTAACAGGAAGGCTCGAACACAACACAAGCCTTCAATTCATCCGCCCCGATCCCCTCCCTTTGTAACCCACATCATATTTTTGCTTTTCATTACAGCTATTTAGAATTACAGTAAATTTCACAAAATATTAGCACTGAAAATGGTTAAAAAATTTGCGCATTTCAGGCCAAGAAATGGCAATTATGTTCGGAAACTGCCTGATGAAAACCCTCTTTAAATTAAAAACGAATTCGTTAAAGTTAGGTGGTGATTTAAAAGGAAGTGGCAAGACAGGTGCGCATACCCACCCCCGTGTTTGGCGATGGCGATGCGCTGGTGGATTTTGTGGGAGCTCGAGAGGCCACTCAGTAATTTTCGCATTCTTCCGTCAAAGTTCTGTACTCTTTCGATAGTTTGTCCAAATACTCGGACTGAATGTACTTCCGCATGGCGGCCCGGCCACTCCGCCCGCCTGTACGTCAGTAGCACCCTTTCCGTCGTACCAATATAACTTTTACGTTTTTGGGGAAGACTCGGGAAGCTGCATCTTTACGCTTTTATTATTCTTAAATTTCCCTTGAGCAATAAGTGCCTCCTGTTCCAGAAAGTTGTTGAAGCTATACGCCATTCACTGTTTTCCCAGGGTGATTGTTTAACTTGACGCTGCTTAAATATGATGGGTGAGCTCACTCCATCCTGCTAATTAACATACATCAAGAAGTAATGTGAGAAGACAGAAAGATGTTGTAAAGAGAACTCTTCAACGCTTCGACGACCTTTTTAGGTCAAAAGTGATAACGGTTTAAATGGTCTGTTGCAAGAGAGTTGAATTCTGGCCATCTGGCCCTAAAAGTGCCTCAATGCAAGTATAAAGCCTTAATGACCTGTGCGATTTGACTGTCCTTGTAAATCACATCCCACCGGATCGGGAATCCATCACTCTCACTTGTACTAGTACAGTTTGTAAGTAGGGATTGGCGAGTCATCCTATTTGGCAGGGACCAAGCTATACTCTAAGCGGTTATTTGCTTTTACTGATGCGATTAAACAAATGAGGCTTTCTAAACACCTGGCAGGATTAAGGACCATGATAGAGGCATCTGCTGACAGCACCACCGCATGAGATATTGGCAGAGGTGCCAAGTAAAAGCCTCTAGTCAAGGAAATCTATGGCGTTGACATGCCAGCAAATTTTAATTGGTAACACTCCCTACACGCGTTCGCACCACTCGCCTCACATTCCGCATCTTCAAAGAGCCAGCGTGCAGGAGTGACCCGACAAAGTGCAAGGCTGGAATCACTTACTTCCTCCCTAAAGTATTTTCCCATTCCTGACAGGCAAAATACTAAATGCTGCTTTTGTCAAGCAGTCAATTGACATTAAAGAGTACGCATACAGAAGTTTTGTTTTTCTTTATTTTCACGTCAAGTGATACGCCATCAACACTTGGCTGCAACCCACTGGCGCTGTCACATGTAAGCCTCAATCTCCCTTATTTAGCGTGTCACAAAAATTTCCCAGCTTTGCAGTTAAACGCATCCCACGCTTTCTTCACACTTCAAGGTTAAGGAAACAGTTTTTCAAGTGATGACAACTTTGATGGTTTTCGTGGGGCTATTGAAAAGGGATTGACACCCAACTTGTAGACACTCCTTTCTCAGTCACTTTTTTGATCGCCGACCTTTGGAGATAACGTCACCCTCTCCTCACAGTATATTTCGATATTTCATAATAAATGTTTATTGAAGTGAAAAGTAGTGAAAGTGGTTGCCGTAACACTTTGTCTGTTTGCTTAACCCCTCGCTTCCGTCTGGCTCTAGGCACTCAAGGCTACGCCTTTGTGCCTCCGGACCTTGCCAGTAGGCCCCAGCCCTTCCATACGTCGGCAATATATGTTCTGCTCTTGTGTAATTTTTTTTAATTCGTCTTCACGGAAGGCTGGTGGAGCTGCATTAGCGGTAGTGTAAAGTGAACCCTAACTTAAAGGATAACCAACCCTGATTTCTACTACTAAATGCGAGGCCTGAACGTGATGGAGGAAGAGCATTTGCTGCCAATGAAAGTACCTACGACGACTCCTAACAAATGAGCTGAAAGTGACATCTACCTAATCCAGTGTTCCACAGGAATGCGGCACTAGCCGCGGCCATGAACCACATGGAAAAGTTTATTACTGAGTTGTCTACCATACCTTTAAGAAAATACCAATTATGCGAGCATGTGATACCTCATCCTCTCTGCTAGCTGGATAGAGTCCAGATAGACATGTTTAGACAGCACTGTAGTAAATACGAATCAAAAAGTAGAAACAGAGACCGAAACTTAACTACACTATGCTATTTTTAAACCCCGCCCTTTATTAAATGATTCTGCTAGTAGGCCAGTGTTCTTGAGACTGCACATTTTCCTTTTCCCCAATACAGATTCCAAATGGGACGAAACTCCAAAATCAGTAGAATTGCCAGGAGGGGGAATCAATGACGTCGCCGACAAACATCTTCTCAGATGCACATGAACTCGATGACTAGTGAAGTTGATAGATGAGTGATATTTCTTTACCACTACCAACTACGTTGTGATGACCAACACTGGAGGTTGAGGGGAGCGTCGGGGAAAACGCTCAAGTAAGAGGAGGGGCTATGCGATGCTTTGGTTATTTGTTTAACTCCACGCTTTGGTTTCACGGGGACTTAAGATTCCACCTTTGAACTTACGGCGAGCGGCATGACTTCCAGGCAATACTAGTAGCTCCCCAGCCCTTCTTCACATCAGCAATGCATGTCCTGCTCTAGTATTATACCTTCTTTCGCCTTCAGGATAGTCTTGGTGCGCTATAATTGTCTTAAAAACGAGGCAAACTTAATGTTTGCCATCTTTTGTTACCAAAAATATTCTTTACACCTTTTGAGTGTAATTACACAAACACAGTTTCACAAGTGTATTAAGGTGAATTTGCTAGATTAATATTGCCAAATTTTAAAGACATAATATTTGTAGGGCCTAGTCTGGAGGGATTAGACTCCATGCCAAGGGCATGGATAAGGAAAGACAAAATCCTTGTCTCAATATTGAAGGCACAAGGAATTAGTGCTTGATTTTTTGTAAGAAGACTTAGAACATGCCAAAGAATATCCTGGTATTTCCAAAATGCTACTAGGATGCCCCTTCAATCATAAAACTGACAAATAAGCATCTATTTCAATCACAACTATTCACTTTTATTCATACCGATCTGTTTAAACCACGATCATGAGAGAAGTGTATCTATATTGTGGTACTCTGAATACCTTCATACTCATCCCATACTTATGCGCATTCATGCTCGGCTACAGTGCATCTGTGACAGCATAAACACGTAGGTTTGGGAAGATTCGTTGCCCTCTCCCAAATGGTATTTTCGTTGTTTACACGCTCCACTTCCGTCGGTGGATCTCTGGGTTGCCAGTTTGGCGGGACGGCCGTTCCTATTCTTCCCACGTACGTACCCAGAAGGTCACAGGGAGGGTCGTTCATGCGTCCTGAGATTTCGGCTTCGTGTCTCTTAGCGAGTTCTCCTTTAAATGCTGCGATCTGCATTCTACGGTGTTGCATAACGCTGCTGTTCTGGCTGTAAACACGGAAAGGAAAGATTTGCAATCCTGCTAACAAATTGTTAGCGGATGTTTTAAAAGCTCAAAATAATGACAGATTGCAATTAGTGCCATTATAGCGTTAATAAAAATGCAAAATAGCACCATTTTATGAGACATTTGCCTTAAAAAAGAGAATAACTATAAGGCATGATTTGTGGTTGGGTTAAATTAAACTTATCGGCTGATTGCAAAAGACCAAGTAATGCAGTGGTCCCTACCATTGCCTTAAGTCGTTTGCACCGTCTTCCACTTTGGACGAACTTTGTAGTCCGCTTCTTTTCAAACTGTCTAGTAAGGGTCTGGCTGATTCAATGCAATCGCTAGGACAAACATCGATTTTATCAGGTTAATCAAACAAATTTTGTACTCGCACCTTTCATTGAATGATTCTAAATAGTTTTTGCAAATAGTTCCTAGACTGTTCAGCAAACTTATTGTTATGCATTCGGTCATTACAGCACTTTAGCATGAGCAGCTACAATGACGCCGGAAAGCAAAACAAACAAGGGACATAATGTGTTATCACGAATTATTTTTCTTTGATATCGTAAAATGAAGACCGCATTGCTTATCTGCCTACCTAATTTCTGGGGTGGCTGGCCAGTTATCCACTGGCAATTACTAATCACAGGTAAATTTAACACAAAGTGGAATTGTAGCTTAAAAGTTTGACTAAGGTATGTACATGACGTACGAGACTGCTATTTTCCTGGCTTTGTCTTTGCCATCTTCATTGCTGGGAGACTAACAAATTAAATACACATTATAAGTAAAACGGTTAGTGAATATACACGTTAAAATATTGAAAAAATACCTAAAGTTGAATAAACAGATGTTCAACCAGTGACATCAATTAACCCATCTTAATTTAACCAAACTTGCAAAGCTTTTTTAAAAAAACTTGACTTGCAGTGTTTATTTGTGGCTGCTAAACAACTTTTTGGATAACCAGTAACAATTAAATGAGTGATAAATGAATTGGCTTTTACTAACCGGATTTCTTCTTGCATTGCCCACAACAACTTGCTTATAGTTTGGTATAAAAAATTGATCGGCAGATTTTTCCAAAGTAGCAAGTGGATAATATTGTTCAGTAAAAATATTTTTATCAAATGGGGACACCTCAAATGCCCTAATCAAAGTAATCAAGTGTCACTGCCTGTGTTAGCGTACAATTGAGTAGTTGTTTTGTAAAGATGATTGGTAACATCCTTATAACCCTCGTTTGGCTTTTCTAGCCAGGGAAATGGCTACCGCAAGATTATGCATACCAGGCAACTCACTAGATGGGGTAACGCATTTGATATACGGTAGGCATCTGGATATTGCTTCTTAAAATCGTTTAGCATAATGCCCTTAAAAATTAAAAAAATTAAATGTACGGCGCAGCCTTGCTAGATTAGCCTTGTCGGATGCATAACTGTTACGAAATGAGTTGTATCTTTCCTGTAAATCATGTTCAAGTTCTGATGACTGTTAACGCAGAAATTAATCATGAAGTACGTTTGTTTGTTACCTTGACTAAACAAATCTTATTTTCATGTAATTCGTCAAAATTTAAATTTGGCTTTGAGTAATAATTCTCAACTGGGTCACATAATTTTTTTCCATAATGTCTGAAAGGAAACATTGACTCAAGCTCACGTTCTGCAAAATCATTTTCTCGTTTTTCTGCAGCTTCTCGTGACTTTTGAGAAAAAAATCGGTTGTTGTCCTGCTGTGATTTTTTTTTGTGTGGCTTTAGATCGCAGGCGCACATTACGTCACATGGAACAGCACAACGAATGGGATTATTCGCATTGTTCGATAAGAGGTTGCAAGCTCCATTAGATCGTTTATGTATTTTGCTGTGCGACATTTTGCACTCTTTGATACTGCTAACTAATTATTATCTTAAGGTTTCTAAAATAACGCAATAAATAACTCCCCACTTTAAAGGTGTGGTGTTATGTATTTCTAGCGAATTGATACAGTAAAAGAAAAGTGAAATTCATATGGCCTTGAAGACCAAATGAATTGTGTAAGTGAAAAGATGCAGTGTTTGGCATACCGTAACAAACATTCTTTCTGATTCTGACAGCTTTGCATCAATGCAACAATTTCAGTTTTACACCAGTTTTTAAATGGAAATATCTACGGGTAACATACTGAATAGCAAATTGGCATTGTGTTAACCAAACTGATTTACGTAAGGCGCGTGGAATGCTGGCACATTCCTAGAATGGCCTAAACTTCCCACATCAGTACTCACGCGGTGCCACTCCCTTTAATAAGCCAGTTTAATTGCACAGGGACCCTGAAACGGCAAGGGAACCACTCCCGTCGACGGCGACCACACGCTCAGGAGGACCCCAAGTCAGCCCACCTAGACCCTAGTCGTGAAACGTGGAGGACTTTGACACCGAATCACCTGACAAAAGTACCGAAATCACGTAGAAGCACACATCACTGGCCTCAGAGATGCACAGAATCCCGCGAGGCATCGTCAGATGCGAGAAAGCAATGCTCGGTCCCATTAAGGCATAAATGTTACATTAATTTAGGGCAGTAAAAATTTACACAAAAAATCAATAGACACTAATTGATAATCCCATGATTAGTGTGCTGATAAACTGTCGCCTATCGTCTGCTCTTTGAATTACTAGTCGGCATCGTCGTCGCCGACGCCGCTGCTGCTGCTGCAGCCTTTGCCGCTTGCCGTCGAGTCGTGATGATCGATTCAAAGGGAGGCTAGAATAAAAACCATCACCAAGAGAGTTACTTCTCGAGATCAAATGACACAAGAGTTTGTTCAAAACGCGACAACTTACAGATGAGTTCTTATCTCCCTTGGTGCTGCTCTTTTTCTCTTCAGCTCCCGCAGGATTAGGCGAGGGTCGTTTCTTGGCCGGCGGAGGTTCTACGCTAGGCGAAGGGGCGTCAGTGCTGATCGTTGTTTTTGCAGTCGTTGTCGTTTCAGTAGCTGTCGTGGTAGAGGTGTCGGTGCTTACAGTGGTGGTGAAAAGACGAGTTGAAGGGAAGGGACGTTTGTTAGAGGCGACGAATCGCTGTGGGCTGTTTGTAGCTGAGGTGGGAATGAGGGAGGTCAGGGACGCTTTCTGAGTGGAGGACATGAGCACGGGAGAGTTCTCGGTCGAAAAGGTACGCGTGCTTGATGGTGTTGTCGGCGACTGGTCTTCTGTTATCGGCTTGGAGAGGCTATGTATACAAGAAACACTGCGGATTAAGAGAGTATGAACCGTTTCCTTCATTTTCAAATAAAACGAACTGAGGAATAGTGTAATGGTGCAACAGAGTAATCTATTTTAGTCTGCAGTCGTCCGAGATTGGGCTGCCGCGTCAGTGATACAGATACTGCACCGTTAGCTTCTTAGACTGCTCTATGCGGAGGAAATAATTTTATTTCTAAAACTGTCGCCTAAAATTTTTAGGGACAAATCAAGCTCTGCGGGAGCACCAGTTAAACATAATATCCACCACTTCGATGAAATCCTAAAATGAACGTGTAGACACCTTGCGGATACGACGCAGAGGAGGAATACCAGCCAAAAGTGAATAGATGGAGGCCCTAGAGAGCAACTTACGCATTGAGACGGGATTCAATAAATTTTCCATAATCCAGGTAGGGCATCACTTTGTGGCGTGCGAGCTTCCGACACCACTTTTGTACGGGGCACCGGGAACGGGCGCAGGCGCATTTGACTGTGTAACGACACGACCGATAGTCGAAATCAAAGGGAATGGTCAATTCAACACCCGGCATCAGTTCCTGTGTTGTGCGGATTATGATACGCAGTTTGTTGCACACTATAAAGTGGTCCAGCTAAAAGGAAGAGTTGGAGGTGATAAGATCATTCGCTCTTTACTTGGAAGCCAGAAGATGCTAGGCTACTCACGAAGCAATTGGGAATACACGATCGACGAATGAATCGGGCATCATTGCCATACTGGGAGGTGTTTATTGCCACTGCACGATCCCCAAAGTTGTGGTAGATCATGACATAGCGATTGTAGCTGCAATACGCAAAACGTTATCATGAATAAGGATAGCGTAGGCTTATGTGCGGATTCACTACACTCAGCCCTAGATAAAGACGTAGTTCAGTTGAGATCCGTAAACTTTAAACAGAGGATACGGTCCTTACCGAAGAGGCAAGTCAAATGATATTTTGAATTGTACGTTAGTACAAGGGCCCTTGCCATGTCTGCTTGAGCCTTCACCCAAGTAATTAATGCTACTAAATTCTCTGCTCTTCCACGGACTCATAACAAGACCGCTTGCACGCCAGCAAGTGAGAAGATAGAGAATAATCAAATACAGTTGAAATATAGCATCATACTCATTAATAGGGTCGATGAAATGTTCGTATTCCTCCAGAAGCATGAGGTTTCCACGGATCTCCGTCACAACTTCGCCCTTTCCAAGCCGAGCTGACGCCTCAAGGCCCTTAAAAAAAATGACTTTTAATATGTGCATAAACAAGGGGATAAATCCGTCTTCAAGGAATGGATAAAGTCAAGGGATGATAATGAAAAGCAAAGACTTGAACCGTATGATTTTTTATAAATAATGAGCCGCCCACCTTGTCATTGTGATCAAACATAACAACTCGGCAGAGCGGAGTTCGGCCAAGACAGGTTGGAGGGAGGCGTTGAACACGCTCTCGACCGCTGGCGCTGAAGCGAGCAAACAAACGCAAAAGTCGGACATGAAGAAAATGTTAGCACTACACAAGGAAGGGCTTGGGGCTAGGTGCAAAAACGCAGAAATGCACAGAAACTCCAGCCGTACACCGGCCATGGGATTACAAGTCTCAGCTACTGGACCACTCGATTGAGTCATACATGCAGTGACTTGAATTTTAACTGTGCGTTCAACTACACGCGTAGTCCCGTCTCGATGGCGTGGTCCGCCGACACCTCTGTGCGTTGATGATAAAGCGTACGGACTGCAATGAATTTTTACGAATTCGGAAGAAATTCGGGATGTTGCGATGGTGCCAACAGCAAGCAAATCAAATCAACAGAACGCCTATCTTGATTTCTGCGGCTAATTACTAAACCCTAACTATTCCGCAGATTCATTTGTCTAGTGTTACTTCAGGCCCAGAACACTGTAAGTGTGATGGACTGGAGATACAACTGCTCATTATAAAGTTTGCCCTACACACCACACCAATGCAAGCAAGTAAGACTGAGATCTATCTACCCCTCCAGCACAATGCAACTCAAACGTGCTAAAACACTTCCTCACCTTCCTCTTCCAAAACAGGCAGTGCTTAGACGAGTCAGCCAATCAGTCCGAAGAAAGCTCGGTCCCATCCACTTTCTCACAAGACGGTCAAGACCTCATGCCCCACTGCATGTCTCATAGTTCACCGCATAACTTAGTCGCGAGAAAATCTTCACTTTTAGCATAGTAGAGAACCATGTTGACTCAATCTCATCCTCCACGATAACGACATTCTTCCAAGTGCTTACCACCTTACCTCAGCATCAGCGTTAGACAACCACAGGCCAAGTAGAACAGACGTTTGGAAATGAAGGGGAGATAAAAGTGAAGGTGGCTAGGGATTGGCTTCTTGAAATAAGCCCTCTCATAAGTAGCATTCGCAGAAGGCTTGTGTCGAGTTGGGAATGAATTACGGATTGTAATGGTGATAATTTCAACGAGTAGTATATTTCAGGAAGCTTTCTATAGTTAGTTAAGTTTTATTACTATCATAAGGAAGCCACACAAACTTATTTCATCACCCTATACTTTCGTTTTGTTAAAATGGACTTCTGCCCTTGCCTACAGCCTACGAGCCCTTTTGTGCTTCGGCCACAAATCCTGTTCTCCTTCCTACTGTAGTTTATTTCGCCCTGAGGGAGGATTTGGAGTGCTTTATAACGATGTTCGACTACTCGAAAGTACTAATTTAGGTTACGAGAAGATGGATACAGAAAGAAGAAGCCGTAAAGACCATGGAACTAAAGGCAGAGATAAGGATTTTGGACCTTTGAGGGAAACTTACAACTCCTGCAATGGCACTGTGATGTAAAGACAAATTTGAAATACGCCTAGAAATACAAATAAAAGTACTGGATTGGGAATTCCCTCCTTTAACCACAAACAGACAATAGTTGCCGCCACACGTCATATTGCTTTCCACAGCTTGCAATAGATAATATTTGTGACAAGTATTCAGTCTAACTAGATGACAGTAATTAGGTTTGGTAAGACCTTTAGAATTGTACAAATAAGGTACTTTCACAGTTTAACTCGATCGGTAGTCTGGTTCTAGAATCGTACGCTGTATGGCATTACCAAGGATAACTCAGACACCACATTTCCAAAATAGGGAACAAGAGGGGCAGAGTACTTACACACGCTGCGCCACAAAGGCAAGGAGATTCTCTGAGTAAAAGCTCACATCAGCCTCCTTGTAGTCCTTCGCCCAAGCGGAACCCAGTGTGGAGCCTACAACATTTCCTCGCTTGCCTGAAGACAGACGCGACGGGGAATCGCCGAAAGCCGATATTCTAAAACAAGGAGGTTGCCGAATGGCTGTCTTACATATATATATCCACACACTTACACAGAGTAAAGTGCGCAAGAGGGCGATGTTACGCGGCCTTCATAACTGTATATATGGTGAGCATATGAGCTGCTGTAAGCGTGACCCCAAAGCAAGTAGGTGGGAAGACCTCTTAGCTTCTTGGGCAGAGTTTCGATTATGAAAGGAGGTAGGGAATAGATGAAAGACTAACCTCTTTTTTCTGCTACCTCCCACACCCAAGACCATGGGACTGGTGGTGGGAGTAGATTCTGCAGAAACAGTAACAATGGGGCTGGAGGGCGAGCGGTCGGCAGTGCTGTCAGCAGAGTAGATTTTCATGTTATGATGGTAGGCAAGTTGGAAAGGTGTGATCTGCCTCACTGGAGTGCCAGCGGGAGTACTAATGGTGCTCATGGTCGGTGAATTGACGATACTCGATGGGCTTTCTTGAATCGTGGATTCGTTAGCCATGCCGGCTTTCGTAGAAGCTGGCATTGCTTCGACATCGTCTGTTGATATAACGGTAAAGAACGAGGATAGCCTTCGAACATTGGTTAAGGTTTATACTTCAAAACTCGAATCAATGCGATGAAGAAAGCGTTTTCAAAAAGACCATTAAAGAGTAAGTCGTGACTAGCATAAGCCTCAGATAATTAGGTCACATGACGATGGGGACCCAAGTTCAGATTCTGCACATTCATCCATGGTTCAGGCAATAAATACAGGCAACTACACATACATGACGTGGTAGTAAGGTCCTGCTTTCGTTTGGACGCTCTCGGTGGTGACGGAATTCGACGATTAACATCTGTCGTCTCATTATTCTGACGTTCAAGACAATTCTAAAGTTTAAATAAAAAATAGGTTGAATTGTACTTATACTTTGCGTCGACCAAAGACAAAAGGTAAGAAAGACAACATTTACCATCTTGTGACGTTCGTCGGTATTGGGAAAAGTGGTGCTCCGTGAGCCGGATGCAGCGCTACCGCCACTGATGAGGCCGAGCTGGCGAGCCCGGTCCGTGGCACTGGCCAGAAGCTGGGCGCCACCAATTGGGTGTTTGATCACTTCGCTTTTGCCTGCGTGGTGATGGATGAGAGAGAGAAGATTTAATTGCTTCGCCGATTCACGTTGCTTCAACGCGGCAAGAACGCGTTCCACCACTTCAGAGCGGACAACGAATGCCGGCCGCAGGCAAGAGGGACAGAGATAGACGGAGGGATCCAAGAGTCTCTCTTTGGGAGTTATGTTTGTGGGGTCCGCTTCGTCTGTGCAGGCTCCCTCCTCGTACACTATCTCCATGCATTCCATATGTTGCAAATAACTACGAGAAAAGGGAGAATATCATAAAACGCTCGTCATATTGGAAGTGTCCATTAAAGTAAGGTATTGTAAGAACTTGGGCTTTGGTCCGGTTCGACTATAGCTTTCAAACAGCACTGAATGTGAAAAGGAACTTTTAGACACAGGAATGCAGAAGTCAACTTGAATCGAATAATATCTCACCGGCAATTGAGACACTGCAGCATTCTTGAGTCCCCAACCTTAACTTCACAAAGACAGTTAACTGTAGACCATATGGCGGGCTAAAGGGGAGACAACAAAAACTGACAAGAAAATAAGGCCTAATGAAACGTACAAGAAGCAAATCAAACCATTGTAACAATAACGCAAAGAACCACATTACCAAAAAATAGACGAAACCAAGAATCGGACAAAATTAATAATTGGATAAAAACTAACTTTGGGACCCAAATCAGCTGCAGATCGGCGCGAGCTCTGGCCGGGAATATTGGAGGCTTCGGTGTCAGAGTCCTCTTCGTCCGAACTTTCGAGACTACTGAGTTTTGACGGTGAAACACAAAGGTCCTCGGGAACTTCAATTATCTGAATATGGGATAATGTTTGACAAGTGAAACAACACAGGTGATTAAACAAAAAAATAACACGTCATGAGAACTAAACAGAGGTAAGAAACAATTCAGTACACCTTTTCACACAAAATGCGTAAGCTTATTACCACCGAACTCGAGACCTTGATTAGCTCTGATATAGTATTCAACGACGGCTGCAGAGCTCGGCATTAGACAAGGAGGAAGACTTCTCGAAACTAATACATACAATCAGCAAGCTACAGCAGATACATCTAACCGACACTACCTTAGAGAAGGGAAACTCCCGTGATGAACTATTTCCACTCAAATCCTATATCGTAACAACAAGGTCAATTAAAAGAAAACAGAAACGCTAAACCGAACGAAAAAGTAGATTGAAAATAAGTCAAGGAAAAAAAGCAGTAAACTCAAATAATTTACTAAAATCACTAAGTAGGTTGTACATAGTGAGACGTTGAGAGCATGATTTGCATAAGACACTTCATGGCTCCTATCCATACGATTCTTGCACCTATTTGATCAATGAAGTAAGAAAAAATGGTAGTTAGGTCTCTAGTTTCCAAGGGATAAAGAACTGACCTTCATATCCGATTCAAGATACACTCTTTCTCCTTCGGATTCTTTTACCACGCTTTTGCAGTACCGCGGCACTGAAAATAAAACCTGGTCTTTAACAGGTGCTTGTGTCAGTGTATCCGCTTGTTGTTGCTGTTGCTGCTGTGGTGGCTGTTGATCGCCTTCTTGGACCTTCCAGCGTTGTTGAACAAGCAGAGTACCACCACTAGCCGCAGCCTTGGCGTGCCATGCAGCGAAAAGCGCCTTTTTTGATTCGGAAAGACCTGCAGTAGACTCCGCTATCGAGGCAAAGACAAGGGGTGTGACTTTGGTCGGCGGGGTGACGATCTTCGATGAGGAGGAGGAGGAGACAGCATTCGGTGATTTTACGCCTTTGGTTTTGATGAGAGACCTCGACAGAGAGGAGTCCTGCCCATTTTCATCGGCTTCGATGACCGCTGCCGTCCCAGATGTCGATTTAGACTCAGCTGGTTGCTTGGAAATTTCAATTGGTATGGTGAGAACAGAGGGTTTAGGGATAAAGTTGACATCCATGAGGTGAGGAGCCATGGCTGGAGGTGTCAGTCCAACCGGCAGTGCGTAGTTGTGATCGTTGTAGGGAAGACCAAAGGAGCAGATGGTAGGACCGAAGGACACCCCGGTTTCCGGGTATATGGCGTCAAAATCCTGAATACTGCAAATTCCAAGTAACAAAACTATTGTATTAAAACAAAGTTGATTGTTGGAAGAAAAGAAAGATAAAATTTGACAACGAAGCTCATGGACAGCTTTGCTGGACATTTTACAGTTATCGATTGTTTAAACACAGGTGCATGCTTAGACAAGCAGGATATAAAATTCAGTAAGTGCGAGGAAAACACAGAAGCTTCTCAAAATGCGCAAGTATCTTTACTACCAAATTTAGCTTCCACCAAAAATCGGGAAACAGTGGATAAAGAACAAGTTATGACTACACAGTATAAGGTAAGTAGAAACGACTTTATCCATGGAAGTAAAGGAGGGGGAAAATCGTAACGAAGGGTTCGCATTATTGCATCACAGGAAACGGTACGCAAAGAGCTTACGTGTAAAACAAAAAGATAGCCTATGTTAATTCCCATTTGTGTTCGGAACGCAATAAAAAGACGGAAACAAGGGGAAATGCGAACATATTCACACAGGACAACAAATATGTCGATGAAATAGGGACAAAACATAAAATAGATGAGCAAAAACTAAGAAACACTACCGTTTTTCCTTGTCTATGCAGGCGGTGAGTTCGAACATTGGTCCAACGAGATGAACCCCACTCTCAGGATCAAGATTTGCGAATCGTTGCTTAGCCGCTTGAAAGAAATTGGAGAATGGTTTCACGAACTTAAAACCTTGGAGAGGTGACGATATTTCTTCGGCGGCAATATCCATTGTTCGGTAGGGATGTATTTAAAAATCAGGCCAGGTAGAAGCAATGGAAATAAAAGAATTATTCTTCCAATATAGTGATACTAACAAAACAGCTTCAGCATACACACCAGTGTACGATGGAGGGACCAAATAGGAACTTCCAGCGGCGCGTATAGAATACTAATAAGTCAACAACGCTGTTTTCCTATTACCGCTTATTCGGCAAAGTTAAACACCACTTCTAAACACCCGGATATTAATCTTCGCGCAACATATCAAACAATGATTTTGTTCAAATCAGTTGGAATTTCATCAACAAAAACCGCTAACAAATAGTGATTTACCAAAATTAGAGCAAGGCAACAAAAATTAATTTAAAACAATATTTTTGGCTTATAAATATCAGGTTTATTGTTATTAAACACCTTAGAATTATTTGTCTGAATTAAAATTAAAAAATAAAACAAGGTCTTTATTAATGTTAATCGATTTCTCGTCACTAATATTTCATTAAAAGATTTCTTCCTTTCTTCTAAGGCTATAATTTTACTTATTTTAAGCTGTTCTTACTTCCTCCTTGGTGTCACTACAACTTTTCAAAATAAAACTTTCTAATCTTTTTGCTCACAAAACTCATTATTTTTTAGAGCCTGTTATGTGTATTGTTTCCGTTGTTTGACCTCTTGCTCGCTGCACTAGCCAACTTATTTCGGGCCCACTGTGTGAATTCCGTTATGTCAATCTTTTGAACTCAATTGTGCGTTGATCCAACTCTGTTTATTGCTTAAAGGATTTGCTCAAACACGTGAAACAAGGACTATTTTGTCGGTCTTCTCCCATTTGATTATTAACCTCTCCAGTCTGTTCGCCTATCCCAAACAATCGATCAAAACTTTATGGTTGCTCAGAAACTGAATAAGCCGTAATCGAGTAGATTAAATTTTATCATAAGAGGTGTTTTGAAGTTTATTAAAATAAATGAGCGAATGGCTGTTGGGTTGGAATGAATAGCAGTATAGAGCGTCGTTCTGATTTTGGCTGCTGATCATATTCATGGGGGATCATTAACCATGGAGGGAGTATGAACGTGTTTCCATTTTCATCATTCAATAAATGTTCGACCCTAGAAGGCAAAACCTCGATAAATGGCATGGTTGCTGTTTTTCAAACCCAAGATTGGGCATGACTTTTGGTTCCCATACTGGAGCATCAATCTACCGAAGTGAGTTCCACGTTTGGTAGATGAAAATCGGATGGACTGCGTCTGCTCTTCTCTAACAGTTCCCTCTTTGTTAGCACTCAAGAAGCTAAGATGGTTGGGAACATTAATATACTACTGAAACAAACGTTCTGATGGATGAGGCGTAGTGTGCTGTATGTGTTTCTCAAGGTACTGCCAAAGTAAATACTTCCATTGAATCCTTAACTGTTACATAGAAGAATAAGTCTAGTAAGGAGGAGGACGGTATACTGGGAAGTCAGGGAATCTCAATATGATATGCTATGAGCCGAATTTACAAAGTGGTAACCTGCATATCTTAATCGTAAGTTAGGACGCTCGTTCCTTTGTTTCCATTGATATAGGGAGACCGAACCTGAGACCTAAAGTCAAATATATCGTGAAATGGGTGGACGTGGATGCTGAAGAAAACACATTCGAAAAAATGGCGGTCATACGATTGGTTATGTAAATTTTATTTCGTAACTGTCTCCGCAGAGTGGAGCCTTCTGAGGATCGTTGTTTTAGGCACAAGCCCATCTAAACTGGAAACTACGGATATACATTTAGGGACTAGAGCACTTGTATGCAAATCAGATGTTTTTTTGGCTTAAACAGATCCACTACTCCGATTGCAGCATTATTTTACCGCTCCAGTAGTTATGTCTCTGCTTTTTTGTTGCAAATGCATTGGAGAAGGTTAGGGCAAATGGTGTTTACCCACCTGGAACTGGAAAATTGTTTTGCTATCTACAGCAATCGCAACAAAAACACGATCTTTTCTGTGAGGAAAAGTGGAAAACGTGAATTCATCAGTACTAACAATTGACTGACTGTTGTCTGTTTACTTGCCCACAAATTGGAAGGCTTGCTTTAGGGACTAATGCATTCAATTGATTGCCCAGAGGTATAGGTTTGACAGAACCACATCGCAAGTCCCAAACCTAGTCCGGTTTGGCTGCTAGTCGCGCTCCAGCTCCATCACTTCCTGTTTATCTGGATTCAGGCATAGTCTGAATGTAGTCAGATGTGGATATAATTCCCAGTAACATTATATGGCGAAAACACCCAAATCGGAATGCGGGGATTGCTATGAAGCAAAGGAGCGTTTTTCTTGCCTTACAAGTAAACGCCCTCACAAATTTTCAAAAATACAGCTCACAAGCAAAACATTTTTTGGCCTTAAAAGTTTTTTTCCTTAGACTAGAAGGAAGGAGAAGAAGCACAGGGATGCCAGCATGATGTCCCAGCCTACTACAAATCGGCCAAGCGGAAATTTTTTTCCCATACCTCAGATAGTCCCTTGTGCGCCATTTGGATAGGGCAATCAAGCATTCCATTAGACTGAGGAAACAAATGGTGGGTGCTTTACCTGGGGTGCATAAAGCAGCAAAGTAGAAGTGGACTCTAACGCATCAAATGCTTTTGCCGTCTAGATCGAAGGTGGGGGTGGCGACAAGGACAAGGGCGAGGCCGGCAGCATCAACAAAACCGATGGACACATTCAAAATTAGAGGCAGTGTTGGTATGCTATTTATGATCCGCTTATTTGAGATGTACGTACCTACGCACGTACTTTTTTCTGAGCTAATAATGGACATTTAGATTCCAATATCCTTTGGATTAGTGCTTCTCCCCACTAATTCAAGCGCGCGAGATGCAGCTAAGTGAGGTTCATGGTCTGTTAAGTAGTGCAGAGGTCGGGACGGACAAAAGAATGTACTTTAGTTGCTCAACAAGTACATGACTTCACAATTGAAGGAATGAGGAGAGTTATTCGCATGGGCTAAGTGCCAGGTAAATATCGAAGACAGTTAAACTAGATTTGTCCGGGAGATTAGAGAGCAGTAAAAAATGCGATAGTTCCCAGCATTTGGGAATACTGAGGGGGTAGGAGCCTTCAAGACATAGAGGAATGCCATTGCAGTGGTAGAAGGCAGCTGGTGCATCATGCTATTTTTCAAGTCAGCCAGTGAGTGGAGCATGCGCCTGATCGACGAGTTAAGTGACCTGTGATGGAGTGATAGTGCGCAGGAAGCGAAACTGCCTGTGAGAAAAGAGGACACAATCATTGATGAATGCTTGCGATTTTTAAAATGACTACAAACCAGGCACCCAAACAGCCTCCATTTTTTGATTAGCACAGCAGAGCAGAGCTACCGAGGATGGTTCATACATTTTGATGGTTATGCGATGGGATCGGTGTACGAAGTGCGGCAAGTGACCGTCTGGAAGCATGAATCCAGCTGACACTGATAGTGTCTTTCTTGGAACCCACAGTTCTAGTTTCCCTTGACTACCTCCTGCACTAATTAATGAGTGTAAGTAAAATATATTTTTTACCTAAACCATGAGGCAACACTGCTCCTCCAAAATGACAGGACTCAATCGTAACCATGCCCCTCCAAGTAGCATATAGATGCATGAAGGCGAAAATCTGCTCAGCTTACAGCTGAATGGAACTAAATTAACGACTTCTTAGGTCAGTACTGTGACAAGCCTGCATTAATCAGAGTTTAAACACTTAAAGTGTAGTCTCAGTCAGGCGTGGCGCTTGGTTTGCTGGCGCCTGTGCCACTGTCATGGTAGGCTGTTGGCACGTGAGAATCAGCTGATGACGTGGGTGCCGTGAGTGGCAATTTCAAGCCACTGGAGTGGAGTGAGAGCCTACAGTGTGCTCATGCGTCGGAGGCGAGTTTATTAAGGCCAGTTTTTCATTTCACCTCTACTATATTCGCTGACCATGAAAAAGGTGGTATTTTGAGATGCTGTTTTTTAAAATGGTGCCTGAAGGTGTCAAGTAGAAGGGTGCGAGTGGCACTTGGATGCCTGTTAACTTTGCCTTAACTCAAAATCTCAAGCCAGTGGGTGTTCTCAGCTTATAGGAAGCTGAAATCTGATTATTTGCACAAGAATGGCCTTAAAAGAACTCAATTTTATAACCTGCGGCTGGTCACCCTGGATGGTGATGGTGTGCTTTCGCATATGCAATGTTAACTAGGTCAACAAAGAGGCAAAACAAAATCACCATCCCATTTAATATGATCTAACAACACGAACCATAAAAGTGTCCAAAATGTCGGCCAACAAGCTTTTACATTCGATAGGATAACGACCAGCAGTTGCATGCAAGTGTCAGACGGAAGAAAGGGCTCTGCAATTTTGGCTGTGACTCACTGCAACGAACTGCGCCGTGACTTGTGGTATCTTGCGGAATGCAAAGGCTTGTCGATAGG